GGTTGTGAGAGAGAGATGGGGTGGGAGGGGGGAGTTTCTGGTCCAGCTGGATTTGGTCAGGAATTGCCACGGACAGGTGTGGCTCAATCTCACTTGAGCCGCGACCACAGCGGACCCGGCCACCCCAACCCCCGGCCCCCCTGCCCCCCCCCCATTGCCCCCCCCCCGCTAAATACCACACATGCACACACAAGCGTCCCGCGTGCACACGCATAATTGTGACTATTATGTTTATCGGGACACGTCCTCGAACGTTGACTTACACGATGCGTCTGTGTGATGTGGATTTTTGTTGTCGTTGCATTGCAATCGATTGCTGCATTTTCAGATGTGTTTTATTAAATATACCGTATACATTGTAATAATAAAAAAGGTTTTGATAAAAAATAGTTTTGCGCAATATGAATATCTGATGTTGTTTAGGTCACATGCTCCTGTGGAATGTGTTAACATGAGCGGTGAGTGATATCTGAACCAGTTGTGGGCTCCCCTCCACTCACCAGCCTGGTGAAGTATGGACAAACACCCCCCCCCCACGACTGAAAGGGAACTCCTCTTTCCAGCAGTGGATTAACAAAGGGCAATTCGTATACGTTTGTCAAATGGTACACGTGTGCTTTTAACCTCTTGTGAAATAACGCAATAAGTGGTCGTCAAAATCAATAAAATATTCTTTGGCTGCTTTGTGCATTGTTCACAACAGAACAAAACCCATTTCGACTGCTACTTATATTGTATTAAGACAAGTAATACGATGCCTGATCTCAATTTCCCCAGGCAGGAAACAAATGTTCACTATCAGCACTTACCCTTTGCAGCCTAATTTCATTTTTTCATTTATTTTACCAGGTAAGGCTTACTGATCTATATTTTTCTTTGTCAGTAGCAACCTGGCCACAAATGATAGCCCAATGAAGTGGCTTATCACGTTGAAATGTTTTACCAGCCAAATACTCTAAACGCATGTTTCTAAATGTGGAGGGGAAAAACCAGAGGAATCGGAGAAAAATCCACACGACCACGGGGAGAACATGCAAACTCCAAATATACAGCAATCTTCAGGGTTGAGAGCCAACCCACGACCTCCTGTATACCAGGCAAGGTAGTTAATATCTCGCCACCGTGGCACACCCATAATGATGGGGGCAGGGTTGGTTGCTTCCTGGAGAAATTGAGCGATCATCTGGGTTAGACACCCACCTACAGGGCAACAGGAAGGTGCAAGTGGTAGGCAGTACAGTTTGTAGATTTTGACCGATTGCCATGGCACTTTGACCTCCGTTTAGTAGCTAATTATTTGCACAACAGTTTGCGTGTAGGTGATAGGCGCATTATTACATCGCAGGAATTTGGTGACAGCTTGGGCAGGTCTTCATCCATCAGTAGATTTATCATGGCTGCTGATGATGATGGTGGGATGACACCTTCTTAAGTCGTCCCCTTTCATCCTCGGTGGGATTTCTCTTGACACTCTGCGTGCCTCCCACACATTATAAGACAACTCAAGGCACTCGCTAAATATGCCAAGCACTTGTCCTCTGCGAAATGAGTCTTGAGGATGAGGCTTACATCTTACATGTGAATGAAGAGTTAAAATACAAGACGATAATACATCTCACGATGCAACACAAAGTGGGGGTGGGGTATGAACATTGATAGGGAGATCTAAGAGGAGGGATGATTACTTGGTGGCGATACCGGGCAGCAGGGCAGAGAGGAAAATTATTAAATGACCCGGTTCAGATATCACTCGCTCCTAATGTGAGCGAGTTCAACCCTAATAAAGTTTGGAGAGCTGAACGGAGTTCAAAAGAAATAAAAAAAACAAATACCTCGTGAAAGATTCAACACAGAAGATCCCTGGGTTTCGTCTTTCACGAAGCTCACGGTCTACCCTAAACCGCATCCACTGCACGAATCATGGTAGATGCGGATAGCTGATGCACAAATAGAAAATAAAAACTCTCCAGCGGCGTGGTCATCCAGAACGTATAAACGACGCGATGCCCCGATTCACAAATGCGAAGGAGACGTCAGAGCGAAACAACTCCGCTGCTCCCGATGCGGTTACCTGGGCTTGACCACCTGAACGTGAAATCGTGGTCGTCACTCTACGTCTACATCGGCAGCCTTACGACAAGAAGAAGAGTCATGTGAGCGGTGGATGGGTGTCAAACTCAGGTCTCAGTGCATTGCAATGATCACTGTTACCTCTTTTGTGTCATAGCGTAGTTATTGTTATCACCAAGACCCACCTCTTTAAATGCATAACTGTTTGACGGTGTCAGGAACTGGACTACTGTAAGTCAAATTGTGTTCGTCCACCACTCTCGAGAGGCTGGTGCTCGAATTTGCTTGCACTGGTGAGACGACAGTGACGCTTTGTTGACATCACAACGAGGAGATGCACTGTTGTTGTGCGGTTCTGTTTGTGGTAAAAAGGCAACGGGTTTGTGTTTTGTCGACGATTAACGCAATCTCCTTCAGCGGTGGGAAGCTGTGGCGGTCACGGAAAGCACCAAAGCTCTGGAAGCCCTTTCAATAAAGTAATGAATTATCGCGATGCACACATTTCCATTTGTTTCACTGTCATCGATCATCCGTTATTAAATGGAGGCGTACATTTTTTTGGAAATATTATTCACCATCAGGAATTACCATAAAAATCGGCAGGTAGAAATGACGGTAAAAAATATTTCAGGATAAATTCATGGGTATTTTCAAAGAAAAGGGTTTAGTCAGGAATTCCATGAAGAGGTGATACTTTTTTTAAAATGCTAACAATTATCTGTTTATATTCTTGGTTCTTTCGGTAAAGTCACGTAGAAGGGAAACAATAAAATAATAAAAATATTAAACAATAAAATTCTCACGACGTTTCGAATGCAACACAAGCAAACATCATCAGGTGTGAAAACCACAGCAAGAAAATTTGAAAAAAGTGGCGTTTTTTTTTTACATTAGCACCACGGAGAGCGATTTGGCAGTTATTCAAATGGACGAGTCCATCTATGTTCGGAAAAGAGGAGGGGGGAGACGAAAATAATGGATGCGGTCTGAAAGCCACCGTAAGCGTGAACAATCAATTAAGACCCGAAATGGTTGATCAAATCCATACAATGATTGCTAAGCCAGAATCCATCTTCTCGGTTGAAATTGTCTCTGTGTTTGTATACGTGGATAGCCTCATGAACGAATCTCTCATGGTAGCCAGATGGCTTACAAAGAACCTCTGTCTTGGAGAAGTCAATGTCATGTGAGCCTACTGAATTATAACAGAGATCTACCACGGCCAAGGTGTTGGTCCTACCGAAAGAACCAAGAATATGAATCCCTGCAGTCACGAAAGCTTTAAATCAAAAATGATCCGTTCATTATTTCAGAAATGTCAATATTTTAACTTTTCTTTTCAAAAATAAGATAAGGATGTGAATTCGTGAGCACCATTTTCCACGAGAACGCAATGCTAGTGCCTTTCATTCATACTCCTAAAAAAGCCTTTTGTGCTTTTAAATTACTATTTTTCATGAACCATTTTCGTGTTGTTGCATTTATTGAATCGAGCATTGTTTGATGTACGCGACGGCGAGTTTCCTTTAATTAGTTACTGACTTGCAAGCTAATCATACATGCCCCATTACAACGTTCTTGCGGTGCAGTGTTGCCAAAATCCAATCGGCACGTGTACCTGAACGCATTTCCAGTCTCCCATAGCCAAGGTGCTATGGCAGGCACATACACGGTGGGCATCACATTGGCCTTCATTTCTCGAGCAGGGGGAGGTGTCGATAGAGCAACACAACTATGCTGATAATGACAACGTTGACGACGACGACGATGATGCTGATCATCATCACGAATATGATGACGCCAATAGCACATGACCACGACCCCCTTACCGCTGGCAGCAACGCGGCTTTTTTTTAATACAATGCGCGTTCACGATACACGGGCAGCCTATAAATAAGCGTTCGAAAAGAGGCTGTCGGGTTTTTTTTTCTCTCTCTCTCTCTCTTCCCAGGACCAGAGCGGAAGCAATGGAATTATTTTTTTCTCCCCACTCCATTCGCATTGCTGACAGACACAAGACGGCTTTGTGCAGGTCGTCCTCTATCAACACCCCCGCCCACCCTCCCTCTCAGCACCCCCCCGCCGCCCCGCCCTCCCGATCCGCCGCCTCACCCAACCTCGACATGAGCCCCAGTCCGCTTTACAGGTACATTATCAGCTGCCCCGTAAGTCACAGGTAGCCGTGGGGGGGGGGGGGGGGGGGGGGAGAGGAGCCGAGGGGCGCAGTTACTGGTGCACCTTGTGGTTTGTCTGGAGGCCCACCTAGCGCATTTCGACACGGCCAAGCGACACCCGCGCAAGAAGTTCCCAAACATTGCGGTATCGATGACGAGCGCGTTCTGACTGAGCTGACGACGGAACCGCGGGACGCACAGCGGGTGCGTGGACTTAAACACAACTGTCGTGGAAGTCGAACTCGGCTGACTGCCGAGCCCCATTGCCTGCAGCGACTCGAACAATTTCACCAATAACCACCGGGGAACCATTTCGCCAGCGAGACAACCCACAAACCTTCCACGGTGTGGCCGCTCCCACGGGGCAGCAGCTGGTTACACACCGTCCGCTCGTTGCGTGGACGAAATAAAAGATGCCCTCCCACCCATCCTCATCCCCCACCAACTCCACCCACCCCCCCCCCCCCCCTAGTTCTTTTTTGCCCCCACACATGGACCAAGGTTTGAAATCAAAACTCTTCGGCCGCCATGTGAGCGGAAAGTGGGTTTTTTTTCAGGAGCTTGCAACAATTTGGCCTCGGCGGGGGGGGGGGGAACAAAAAAATTTGCCCGGGCAATTTTTTTTTTGGGGGGGGGGGGGGGGGGCTACGCGCGGCGCTCGCTCGCTCGCTCGCTAGCTAGTGCCGCGCGTACCATCGTGTTGCGTGCAACACGTGTTACGCGTTACTGTGGGAAAGTCCTTAGGGGGTCCTGGCGTGGTGCTTCTGTGGCTGGCGATGTTATGAAGATGGCCAATTGTTGTCACACGTGGCAGCGGCGCTGGCCGAGGCCGGGACTCGGCGGATTTGGAAGAGCGGCGTCGCTTCGCGCTCTCCGCAGCGTCTCTACCGTTGGCTCTGCGGGGGCTTTAGACGGGGCAGTGTCGTCACTGGGAGCGACTTGTTAGCGCTGGCTTAATTGCATCGGGGCATGGACGTTGCATCATCACGCTTTCATTGAAATGGCTGTACAATGACGACAAGTGAAACACACACAAGTGATACAAGTGTAAGCAAAGGATAGGGTGTGCACGTCGTGTTCTGAATAATAATGATGATGTATTGCTCTTTGTCAATCCACTGCTGGATGAAGGATTCCTCATGCCATGCCATTCAGGCTGTTTGACAATAATCCAGGTCTCCTCACGCCGTGTCAATCACGGGTGCTGTTGAACCATACTTCGCCATGCGGGTCTCTGAAGGTTGGCAAAGCGAGCGGTGAACGTCAGCGTGAAGGCTTAGGAGTAGAAGTATAGTGAATGCAGGAAGGATAGACGTGGGGGGAGCACAGAAGTACAGCACAATGGATTTTGGGGCACCGCTCTCTGTTGTCCAGCACGTAGCCCCGCAGCCCAGAGCACATATTCCGCACGGTGCTCACCCATCCAAGCACTATCCAGGCTCAACTCCAGCTTAGCTCGTGAGATCTGCCGAGGTGTTGGGGAGCGTTCGTGTGAATTGATCGCAGGCTAATTACACCTCAGTGGGCCGTTATTCAGCCGGTGTCCATCGCAAACATATTTTCGGAGCACGCAAAAAAAAAACCCAGAACAACATTGTTTTCAATATCCTTCATTGTAAACGCACAGTGACAATAATAACGTTGCATGAAGACCCAAAGAGTTATTTGTTTTTCTCTCTCTCTCTCTCCAGCCATCGTTAAACATACCTGAAAGCTTGTTGCAACAGTGCCTAGAATGAATGGCACGCCCGGGAGTAATTTTTTTGTTGTCGTTGAGACCCCGTGTGCAGTCACGTTGAAACAGCGAGAGATGTAAACCCTCCAAGTGAGTGTGAGAACACGCCGGGGTAACCATGTGGACAGACGGACAGACACGTGGAATTAAGGGCAACAATAGGCTCGCTTGCATGCACACAGAGAGATCACGAGTGACTTACTAAATGCCGTTCTCAGATCCCACGTTTGGTGACTGCTCATCGTCACACATTCTGTGGAATGTCTCCTTCCGCTTTGTTATCGCGCTCTCTTTATTATAGCTCTTTGGATGAATATTTTTTTTAAAGAAGACGTACGTTTGTAAATGATGAACTGGTCCTGAGCATTCTCTTCATCGACCAACAACTAACGGGCGTGGTGAAGTATGCTCAAACGAACCCCCCCGCCCCCACCAACAACCGACTTAAGCCAGAAGTGGCCCTCATCCAGCAGTCGATTGCAAAGGACTTTACGGTGCTTATACGCTACGATATATGCACGCATTATTACGATCATTATTATTCAAGTTTTGTGTGCTCATATAATTACAGGTTCGAAGAATCATGAGGTCATTTGATTTAGATAAATAAAAATATCACCGCTGTATTTACATTAAATTATTGCCCCGTAGAAAAAGCTACTTCGGCCACATGAATAAACCACAGTGGCATGCCACACGCATTAAAACACGAGCAAGTGTGATTATGATGATTAATGGGATTTTTTTTGCACAAGAAACGAAGGTGTTTAAAAAACACACATCTTTGCATAATTCATGAATATCCTATATTGAGAAAATTCTATAAACCCTGAACCAAAAAAAATCGTCGGGAAGAAGAATCCAACTGAACAAATACAGAACATCACTGTCGTCAAAGAATAAAACTAACACCACCTATTTGGATGCTGCCTGCCGTAGCGAAACGGTGAGCATACTGGACTTGCAACCCAGAGGTCACCGGGTCAATCTCACTGCGTGGTAATTGAAACGATGCTGCAAGTTTATGAAATCCACCCTCTTCTGTCCACCGCGCAGAATAAATGGGTGCACCGCAGTGAGTCGATCCGCAGCTGGTGGGGTAAAGGGAGCTGCACGGATCAATACGCCTCTTCCGAGACATCTAGTCATCGTGGAAAAGAAGGCCAAATATCCTCTAGAGTGGTGTTCTAGATCCTCTAGCGGAGGCGCTATCAGCAGCAGCATGAGTAAGTTATTCCAGGACTGCATCTTTACCCTCTTAACGAAGTATGGATAATGTTGAACATGGATCGTCCTGTGGAGACTGGCTCCTATCAGATGAATACAGCACGCTTGTTTTGGGATGGAGACACTCATACCTTTTTGATTGTTATGAAAGGATACCCGTGAAAAAATGCTTGAAGAGTTCGTAGTTGAGGGGGCTCAGGTTGGGCCTGGCTCGCGTTACGATGAGACTTTCTGTTCTGGGTTTCATCCGCTTGTAATTAAAGCCGGGTTCTCACGTGGAGAGGGTTGATGGTCTCAGTTCGGACACCAATGACTGCACAAATCAAAGAAGAAAAAAACGTTATTAAATTCGCTTTCGCACTCAAATTTGGCTAAATTCTAACACCGAGAATGACAAACCTCGTCTCGGGTTGACTGTCATGCAATGAACAACCTCACAGCATCGTTGCTAGGGCGCTACGTTCGCGAGATGTTAGCTACCTCGCCTGGTATGTAGGAGGTCGCGGGTTCGATACCGACCCTCATGGCTGCTGTTAATTTGGAGTTTTAGGTGTCTCTCTCTCTCTCTCCGTGGTCACGTGGATTTTTTCGGATCCTCCGGGTTTTCCCTCCACATTTAGAATCGACTTGCGTTTAGAATATTTGGCTGCAATACATTTCCATGCAATAAGCCACTTCGTTGGGCTCGCATTTTTGATAGCCAGGTCGCTTCTGAAAAATAATTATCGAGCTCAGTGAGCCTTATCTGGTAAAATAAAACAATAGTTAATCGTTTTATAGTTTAGAAAGTGTGCCCCCCCCCCCAGCTGTGTAAAGGATATGTCAACTTGAAGGATTCTGTGAAAAAAATAACAACTCACTCCCAGGGGCCACTCATTGTCTGCCACGCAGGGTCCACTGCTCTGCGATTTTTCCAAACGGATTCTTTCCCTCCGTAACACGAAGCCCCCCCCCCCAGCCCTCCATTAGAATAAATTGGGTGGCGGGGGGGAATTAAAAAGAAGATTGTTATATATTTTTTTACATTTTCCGCCTTCCTTTAATGTAGCTTGTATCCCAAGCTCGACAATTAAGCAGCTAGTCTAGGCTCGCGTTTTGGCTCAATATCTACTGTCACTAACATGCTTTTATTAATCCCCTCATATTACTTCAAGTCTGCACGAAAAGAGAACAGCGCGGAGAGAGAGAGAGAGAGAAAAAAAACGTTTTGCGGTGAGCCCTTTAAATTCCTGGACAGGGTACTCCAGGAAAATGGATATCAGGTTTCAGGCAAGCGTTTCCATCACCGCTGTTGCCATACAGAACGCAACGCAGGGCAGGGTAGCGATATAACCTTGCAGTTGAGCTTTACAGCTGGGCTGATAAGAAACTAAGGGGGAACAGAGTTACGAGAGTCATGGCCAACTTCGCGTTGTAATCAGGAGCTGGCATCGTTGCCCCCACTAAAGAGGTGACGCTGCAGAATTTATACACAAAAGACAAAGATCCCCCGTATAGGCTTGACGGACTGTTGTGGCAAGTGCTGTTAGCGAGCACCTATGAAGTTCGGCACGGCACACGAGAGGGTGGGTGGCCAGCACCACGCCCGGCCGCCTTTGTCTCCCCAGTGTCGATGTTTACACACAGCACCAGGAACTCATTTGAGGCCGAGGCGACCTAGGGGAGGCCCAGGACCGGTTCAGAGAATCGAGCTCGTGTTGCGCGCTTTAGTATCGCAACGCGCTAACCGCTACACCACCAGTCCCCAAGGAGTGGCCCTGCATAATTTATATACAATACACAAAAGCACACAAGTACTATGGCACCCATATGCAGTATATGTATTCCATAACATGATATCTATCTCTTCAGTGTATAGTGGCGATTGTGTTGGATAAATGTGTTTGCAGCTTAATTATATCTCACCCGAAAAGCTGACGAACATATATTTTTTTTATAAATCATAACATTAGTCACCAAAAACTATGCGTTATATTATATATTAAATGGCTCATATACCGTTCACTGAAATATGATGATATAGCACATATCACGAGGCTTTATCTGCCGGTGGATTTGACCATGGCTGACGATGATTGCACGTTTTATGCAACATATACGGAACAAGTCTCTAAAGATTGTTGTGTAGCTTTCCGCTTAGTGGTTAGCAAACTGCACCATGAATTCGTGGACCTGAGTTCAATTCCTGGTCACGGCTAACATCTCAGTGGAAAGTTATATTTAAACGTGTCCTGGGTCATCAGTAACTCCCACGGACAAATCATGGTTGAAGTATGGTCAAACAATCCTCTTGACAGACACGGCCTGAGGTGACGTTCGTCCAGCAGTGGATTGACAAAGGACTGCCAATGATCATAATTAACAGAACAGTGCAGTTAAGCTTTATGAGTGCAAATAAACAAAGATAGCCTGTTTGAGACCTTTAGACATTAGGGGAAAGTGCTGATAACGAGCACATTGTTAGGGCTAATGCAGTAAACGTGGTGAAGCCAGACCCACACCTGGCGTCTGTTGTCTCCCCAGCTTGAATGGGCATCACGGTGGCTAGGAAATGTTAACTACCTCGCCTGGTATACAGGAGGTCGTGGGCTCAATCCCGACCCTGACGCTGGCTGTATATTTGGAGTTTGCACGTCTCTCTTCCCGTGGTCGCGTGGATTTTTCTCCGGGTCCTCCCGGTCTTTCCCTCCACATTTAGAAACACGCGTGCAGGGTATTTGGCAACTATACATTTCCACGTGATAAGCCACTTCGTTTAGCTAGCATTTGTGGCCAGGTCGCTTCTGAAAAAAAAGAGCTATGTAGCTCATTGGGCCTTACCTGGTAAAATAAAAAAAAAAAGTTCAAAGTTTAATATTAATATTTAAAATGACAAAACTACTGTATTAAAGTGTTCTTAATTGATATGTGGGGTGTCCGAAACCAAGCCACTGCTAACATCAGGAGTGCGTGATATCTGAATCAGACCTGGGGCCTTCCTCTTTCCAACCCACACTCACGAGCGTGATCAAGAGTGGTCAAATAACATCCCACGGCCAACACTGTGGGGGAGGAATTCATCGAGCAGTGGATTGAAAAAGGTGTGTGCATTATTAAAATGTAATACTGTTATTCACGTTACATAACTGCAAATATGTGACTCCCCAAACATGTTTCAATGTTTATAATTCATACATAGCCTTGGTGTACTATATAAACCAAGTACAACACCTTGTGAGCACACCTGCATGTTATTTAGGGGGCCGATTACAGGAGGACTGTTTAAATCTCAACGTTGGGACCATTTCATCCTAGACGTATGGTATTTCTGTTTTAAACGACGCTGGTAAATCCTATTGTGTAGGAAGCAATCGTGTGCACTTTCACTCATAGTTGCAAGTGCCGAACGTGCAGAACTTTAAGAGCCGATTGACAGCTTTCGGTATTTTTTTTGTCTCAGCGTTGGCGCTAGAGTGGCTACACAACAGCGGCTTGCCTGTTCCTTTTTCTCAGCACCGCAAATCGTATGGATAAGCTTCCCCCGCAAGTAAATTTCCACTCGTGTACAATACCCACACACACACACTGTAGTGACTAAACAGTATGGGAAATCGCCCTGAAATCCTGCATTTGTGCGTGTGAGTGCGTGTGAGTGCGGGGAGCGGTGGTGTCACGGCCAGCGCTACGCTGCGCTACGATACCAGCGACGCGAGTTTGATTCCCGCTCACGGCCAACACCGGTGACGATTATCTAAACCGGTCCTAGGCGGCCGGGCGTGATGCTGGCCACCCCCCCCCCCCCCCCTCGTGTGCCGTGCCCACCTTTTGTTATGGGTGCTCGCTAACAGCACTTGCTCCGAAAGTCTGTTAAGGCTGTACGGGGGGTCTATGTCTTTGTGTGCGTGTAATTGTTAGCACACTTTCATCCAATTCTGGCCATCTTGGTTTGATTCCCGGCCATGGCTAACATTAGTGGTGAATATCAGAATTGGTCCTGGGTCCTGCCTCCCCTCGGTTGGTGTCACATGTAAGAGACAAAGGCGTCTGGGGAGACAAAGGTGGCTGGGCGTGGTTCTGGCCACACCACCTCCTCGTGTGCCGTGCTAACCTTCGTAGGCTATATGGGGGATCGTTATCTGTGTTTAACACGTTCGACTTTCGCGACCAAAATGATCCATATTGTAGTTTTTTTGCTTAACTTGCGTAAATATAAATGTGCCGCTCTTGTTGGGAGCGATGGCGCGGTGATTCGCACACTACACTACAATCCTGGCCGTCTGGGTTCGATTCCCGGACCATGGATAATATAAATGGCAAATCGTACTATCTCAACCTGTGTTGGGTTTAATCCAGGTGAACACCTGGCCTTATTTGAGTACCTGGTGTAACACGTGAACAATTATGCACAGACGATCCAGTATGTGCACGTATATATTCATTTTAGTAGCCACTTTTTGAATATATCATGACATAGAATTACACATATATATGACAAGGCTAATTAGGGAAATATAAGTTTTGTATTATTTCGAGTGAATCTTTCTTTTTAAGTACTGAACTCAAAAAGCAAAAGAAGAAAAAAACAAAAAATATCAGAAATCTTTATTTTATCATGGAAAGATCCGATGGGCCATGCAGCTCTTTTTCGCAGATGTCCAGTAGGGGATGGGTCAGGAAGTTACAACAACACCAAACAATACAAAGAACAAAGATCTGAGTGCAAAGTATAGTAAAAAGAAAGCAAATCATTGAACATAAACACGTACAAAAAAGCAAGATTGGCACGTGACAATGTAAACAATGTATTCGGTGATACGGCATCACCGCACAAGCACAAATGACCAAAACAAACATTTTGGCGAACGTGTTGCATTTTCGTGACATGTCGACGTAAATTCTCCGGCTCATCAACGTCCACCCACCGGGGGTTGTTCATACCGTGGGTACACATTGCATGGGTGTTATCCGCAGCAAGAATTCCCAGATGGCTTTCGATTTGCCCATATTTGGAGGCCCTGTGGTTATTTCAGTACAATATTTGACTTCCATTGGAATCGATCCCTATCATATTTGACCACCTTCCCACGCAATCTTGTACATGTTGCTATTGCTGGGACCTGCGGCTCAGTTATGCACACAAAGACAAAGATCCCCCGTATGGGCTATTAACAGTGTTGAGGCAAGTGCTGCTAGCAAGCGCCGAGAAGGTCGGCACGGCACACGAGGGGGTAGGTCACCAGAACCACGCCCGGCTGCCTTTGTCTCCCTAGTGGCGATGTTGAAACACTGCACCGTTTGAGGCTCAGTCGACCTAGGACCGGTTCAGATAATCGT